CAGGGAGTGCAGAGGGATCAGGATTGGGATTGGGACCAGGGGGCTCAGGGATCGGGCTCAGGGAGTGCAGAGGGATCAGGATTGGGATTGGGACCAGGGGGCTCAGGGATCGGGCTCAGGGAGTGCAGAGGGATCAGGATTGGGATTGGGACCAGGGGGCTCAGGGATCGGGCTCAGGGAGTGCAGAGGGAGCAGGATTGGGATTGGGACCAGGGGGCTCAGGGATTGGGCCCAGGGAGTGCAGAGGGAGCAGGATTGGGGGCGAGGCTGTAAAAGGATCAGGATCGGGATTGGGATCAGGCTCAGGGATTGGGATCAGGCTCAGGGATTGGGATCAGGCTCAGGGATCGGGCTCAGGATCACATTCAGACTCAAGCTGAGGGATCAGGCTCAGGCTCAGGCTCAGGGACTGGGATCAGGGATTGGGATCGGGATCAGGGATTGGGATCAGGGATCGGGATCAGGAATCAGGATCAGGGATTGGGATCAGGCTCAGACTCAGGGACTGGGATCAGACTCAGGAACTGGGATCAGACTCAGGGATTGGGATCAGGGATCGGGATCAGGCTCAGACTCCGGGACTGGACTCGGGCTCAGGGATCGGGCTCAGGGACGGGGCTCAGGCTCAGACTCAGGGACTGGGATCAGGGATTGGGATCAGGCTCAGACTCAGGGACTGGGATCGGGCTCAGACTCAGGGATCGGGATCAGGGATTGGGATCAGGCTCAGACTCANAGGAAGGGCCAGGGGGGGAGGCTCCTGCTTGGGCAGGGGCAGCGGGATCAGGTCCTCGGGGCTCCAGAGCACGGCGCGGGCGAAGGGCGGCTTGGGCAGCACCACGGCCTTGCGGATGTGGCTGAACTGCTGCAGCTGCGAGCGGGGGTCCCGCTGGCCATGGCCCGGCAGCGGCTCCAGGGGGATGGGCACGGCCTTGTCCCGCAGCAGCCGCTCCCCCTCCTCCTCCTCGGGGGGCCCTCGGGGGGGCTGCGGGGCGGGCTCGGCGCGGGGGGGGCCGTGCCGGGCCAGCCGGGGGTCGCAGGGGCCCGGCTCGGCGGGCGGGAGCTGCTCGGGGTTCCGGGCCAGCCGCGGGTCCCGCAGCCGGGGGTCCGAGGGCCGGGGGGGTCTCTGCAGCCGGGGGTCGCTGGGGGGGTCCCCGGGGGGGTTGGTGGGGGGTCTCCCGGAGCTCTGCTGGCGCAGGGATTTGAGGATGGAGGTGACGCTGCTGCCGCCGTCGTCCTCGTCGCTGGAGTACCAGTTCCCGGGATCGCCTGGAACGGGACAGGGAATGAGGGAACAGGGAGAGGAGCCCTGAAATATTCCCGGGTTTTCCCAAAAACAGGGAGCCTCTGGCCTCGATCTCACCCCCCAAAGTCCCAGAGAGCTGCAGTGCCAGTTCCCGGGATCGCCTGGAATGGGACAGGGAATGAGGGAACAGGGAGAGAAACCCCAGAATGGGGTCTCAAAAAGGAGCCCTGAAATATTCCCGGGTTTTCCCAAAAACAGGGAGCCTCTGGCCTCGATTTCACCCCCCAAAGTCCCAGAGAGCTGCAGTACCAGTTCCCGGGATCGCCTGGGAACGGGACAGGGAATGAGGGAACAGGGACAGAAACCCCAGAAGGATCAGGATCGGGAGCTGCAGAGGGAGCAGGATTGGGATTGGGACCAGGGGGCTCAGGGAGTGCAGAGGGATCAGGATTGGGATTGGGACCAGGGGGCTCAGGGAG